CCCTTGGGGTCCAATGCTCTGGGCAAGCCCCAGGTTGGGAATACTTGGGCAGGGCTCCTGGAATTCGGAGAATTTTCTCTTGAAGATGAATGCAAAGTTTTGTGGGTTTTGGACAGATTTCTATAAAATCTTCTCTTCCAGGAGGTTAAGAGACAGATGTTGTTTACATGGTGGTGGAAGCTGGTGGGAAATGGAATCTTTGAGACTAAGGAAGGTGGTCGTGTCCCGGATGAGCTCAAGATGAACCTCAGGGCCACCCTCAACCTCCCACCAGCTTTCCCTCATTACATAACTGTTCCCATGAAATTCAGGCAACAAAACCTCCAGGGAAAGCTATTGATTATTCAAGTTATTTGGAGGCTCGGAGGCTCATAATAAAGTGGTTATAATTATTCCTGTTATGACACATCCTTTTAAATGCTCAGATCTGAGAACATTTTGCTTGCTTTGACTCAGCCCTCTTCATCACAGGGAGAGAGGCTGAGAGCTGGAAATAGCTTATGTGCAGCAACAGGCAGGAGTCACAAGGAAGGGAACAGGCCAAAAACAACTCAGAGAAAGTGACAGGGAGGGACAAAGGACAGCCCTAACCTGCACAGCCAGCAGCAAGCCACTGCCACCAGAGGAGCCCTGAAATGTGTATCACACAGTTAGTTACCCAACAGCCGACTGTTCTTCTGTGGTTAAATGTACTTCATCTATGAAAATTACCCTCAATATAATACCCTCAATATAATAATTTTTAAAATTCAGAACCAGGCACGATGGCGCAGGCACTTAGGAGGCTGAGGCAGGAGGATCACAAGTTTGAGTCCCACTTGGACAACTTAGTGTCTCAAAATAAAAACTAAGAGCTGGGGATGGTAGCTCAGTGATAGAGGACCCCACCCCACCACCACACTGAGTTCAATCCCCTGTATGGGGGAGGGCCGGAATTCAGAAAATAGCATCCCGTTTCTGCTTTTCATAATAACAATAATTAGCATTTACTGAGCATGTCTCTGTGTCACATGCTACCCTGAGTACTAGCTCTATATCATCTCATTTAATTCTCATCAACATTCACGATATGGGCATGATTATTATTTCTGCTTTATACATAAAGAAAGTCAGGTATAACGTGGACACAGTTGTACCTTGTACATGCAGAGGGAGAATTTGAACCTTGTTGGGCTAACCTTGGGGTCCCGGACACACTGCCCCGTTAAGGTTTCTAGGCCACGTCCTTGGGTTGGTAGCACAGCCCAGCAAGATGGGGCAGGAGTGGGGTGTGGGACCTAATGTTGTGCTTAGTTTGGTTTTGGTTTTTTCTTTCTTAGATTGCTGGAAGGCAAGTCTCCCCCTTTACCTATCTCCCCCAGACATGGACGTGCAAGCACACACAAGCGTGTGCGCGCGCGCACACACACACACACACATACTGTTTCTGTTCATTCAAGAAGAACCTACTGAGCTACACTTCCGGGTCCTATGGGTGACTCATGGGGGTGTCAGGTGAGGACAAAGGCTTTGGGTACAAGGCTCACACAGCGGGGACAGTCAGATAGGTGTCCCCAGAGAGCACAGGCTCTGGACTCAGGATGAAGAAATTTTCTCTGTCCTTGTGTCATTGTGCGTCTTCTGCAGCTGCCCAGCCCCAGGATGGTGACGATGCTCTTGCTACTCTCCGCGCTGGCGGGCCTTGTTGCAGAGGCCGAGGGACAAGCATTCCACTTGGGGAAGTGCCCGACCCCTCCGGTGCAGGAGAATTTTGACGTGAACAAGGTATGGTAAAGGCTAACCTCCCAAGTGTTTCCTATGTCTTGTTCAAATAAGCATCCACAGCAGTTCTAGTTTTTTGTTGTTTGTTTCTTTGTTTTTTTAAAATAGGGTCTTGCTGTGTAGCTCAAGCTGGCCAGAAATTCACTATGTAGCCCTGGCTGGTCTCAAACTTGCATCAATCCTCCTGCCTCAGCCTCCCTAGTTCTGGGATTACAGGTGGGCGCCACCACCCCGGGCTCTGGACTCCATTTTATTACCCTACTTTAATCTCCATGGCAAGCATTGGGAAAGATGCCTAACTTAAATTGGGTTTCCCCAAAGCAGATTCTGAGGTCAGGACAGGGTAGGGAGAGAGACAGGCAGTTTGGGCTGATGATTCCAGAAGCAGGAGGGGCCGTGGGAAACAGAGCCCCAGAAGGCAGAGAAGCAATAAAGTGTGAAAAGAGAGGCTCAATCCTGGCTGGGAGCCTCTGGAGAGATGTGCAGAATGTACCCAACTTGCCCTGCGGTGATGCCAGCAGGCTGGGGCCGGGACTGCCTGGCACTGGCCAAGCCCTCTGGGAGAAGAGAGATGGGGTGGAGGGATGGAGAGCAGTGTGTATGGGAATTTCCGCTGCAGGAGAGAACGCGGACATGTGGGACACTAACTGTGGCTGCTACAGTATTATTATCCTGTTCTGCAGAGAGAGAAGCTGAATGTCTGCCACCCTAGTTGATGCAGCTAAAAAGTTCAAGGTGAAAAACGAGGTTTCCCCATAGTGCAAGATACCCCAGGTTGGGCTGGGGATTTAGTTCAGTGGTTCCACCACCTGCCTCCCAAGTGCAAAGTCCCAAGTTCAATCTCTGGTACAGAAAAAAAAAAAAGATATCCCAGGTTACTCCGAAAGCCTTGGAAAGGCCAGAACTCTGCAAGGGCTTTCTTACTACCTACACTAAAAAGATATCTATTAGAGCCTGGTGTGGTGTACACCTGTCATCCCAGCATCTGGGAGGCTGAGGAAACAAGATCATTGTGAGTTCAGGGCCAGCCTGGGCTACAAAGTGAGTTCAAGACCAGTCTAAACTACATAGCGAGACCCCATTTCAGAGAGAGATAGATGATAGATAGACAGACAGACAGATAACCAGCTCCCCCCTGAATTACCTTTCTTCCTGGGATGGGAACAGAAGGAGCAACAGAAGAGATCCAGAGAAGCCAGGCATGCTGGTACACACCTGTGATCCCAGCACTAGTGAGACGGGAGGATTGCCTCAAGTTTGAGGCCAACCTGGGCCACATAGTGAGCTCAAGACCAGCCTGAACTACATAGGGAGACCTGCTCTCAAATAAAAACAAACAAAACAAAACAAAACAAAAAACCCAAATAGAAAAGATCCAGAGAATTTGAGTTACATTTTAATTTTGAGGTATTTCTCAGACATTTTGGGAATTATAACTGATCTGTATTTACAAAAGTCCTTTGAGAACTAACACCAAATTTTTAAAGTACAAGTTTTATTGAGTATAGTTCGTATACCATATCATTGACATTAAATCAGCTTTTGCTTTCAATGATTTTTAGTATATTCCCAGTTATGCAATCCATTTTAGAACATTTTCATCACCTCCAAGCCCATTAAAGTCACTCTCCCCACCCTCCAACCCTACCGGCCCCAGGCAGCCAACACTCTGCCTCCTGTCTCTGTGAATCCAACTATTCTGGACATTGCATACATAGAAATGGAATCATACAATATGTAATTTTTGTGACTGATTCTTAATATCATGTTTGCAAAGCTCAGCCACCTTCCTCCATTCCTTTTTACTGCCAAATAATATTCTATTGCATCAATTATGCTGCATTTATCCACTCATATTTGCATTCGCGTTGTTCCTACTTTTTTTACTATTACAAATCAGGCCACTATGAACATTCAGGGTCCAGGAGTTTTAGGGGTAGGGAGACCTCCATTTTGGGTTCTCTTGGGCATAAACAGAGGATAGAATTGCTGATGTGTTAACTCCATGTTTAACTTTTTGAGGAACTGTCGTACTATTTTCCAAAATATCTATACCACTTACATTCTCACTAGCAGCATATAATTCCAATTTCTTGGTATCTTCACCAATATTTATTGTTGTCCTTTTGGTTATGGTCATTTTAGTGGGTGTGAAGTGGTACCTCATTGTGGTTCCGATCTGAATTTCTTTAGTGACTAATGGGGTTGATTATCTTTGTATATACTTACTAGCCATTTGTGCATCTCCTTTGTATATCTTCTATTCAAGTTTTTTTTATGTCATTTTTTTTATTTGGTACCTGGGATCTGACTCGGGTCCTTGAGGTTGTGCAGCAGTCGGTGAAACCAATGAGCTAAATCCCCAGCCCCTTTATGTCATTTTTTAATGTGAACATTTATTTGCCAAGGTGACGGCCCATTGGTTAAATGTTTTCTACATGATTCTACATGGAATTCCAGGAAAACAAGTCAAAGATTTGCCCATTTCTAAATTGGGTTATTTATATTTTCATTATTGAGATCTGAGTTCTTCCTCTATTCTAACTATAAGACCTTATCAAATATGTGATTTAGGAATATTTTCTGTGGAATTTTTCACTCTATTGACTTGCCTTTTGAAACACAATTCTTCTTCCTCCTCCTCCTCCCCCTCCTCCCCTCCTCTTCCTTCTCCTCCTCCTCCTCCTCCTTCTTCTTCTTTTGCGGTACCCGGGATGGAACTCAGGACCTTTTGCTTGAGAGGCAGGTGTGGTGCCACTGAGCTAAATCCCTGCCCCTAACACAAAATTCTTCACATAGCCAGGCACAATGGTACATGCTTGTAATCCCAGCTACACAAGAGGCCGAGGCAGGAGAATCAAAAGTTCAAGGCCAACCTGGGCAACTTAGCAAGACCTTGTCTCACAAAAGCAAAATAAAAAAGGATGGGGTTGTAGCTCAATGGTAGAGTGCTTACCCACATGTATGAGGCCCTGGGTTCAGTCCTCAGTCACACACACACACACACACACACACAGGTTTTCCCATTGATGAAATCCAATTCATCTATTCACAAAGATTTCTAATTTTTATAGCTTATATTCTTACATTTAAATCTTTGATCCGTTTTAGGTTAAAATTTGAATACGTGTGATATGAGGATCCAACTTCTTTCTTTCGCATATGGATCTCCTGTTGTCCCAGCTCCATTTATTGAAAAGATCATTATTTCCCCCACTGAATAATTTTAATATCCTTATTAAAATCAGTTGACCGTGGAGCCAGGGATTTAGCTCAGTGGTTTTGCCATCTGCTGCGCAAGCGCAAGGACCCAAGTTCGATCCCTGATAAGGGAAAAAAAAAAAAAATCAGTTGACCATGTATGTGAGGGTTTATTTCTGGGCTCTCAATTGTATTCTATTGATCTATATGCCCATACTTAGGCCAATATTAGACAGTCTTAATTACTATAGCACTGTAATAAGTTTTTAAGTCAGAATATGAGTCTCCCAACTTTATTCTATTTTGTGTCCCTCACACTTTCATGTGAATTTTAGTGTTATCTTATGAATTTCTACAGAAAAGCCAGTTGCAATTTTGATAGTGTATTAATCTAAGGAACAATTTAGGAGAATATTGTCTTCTTAACAATATTGTCTTCCAATTCATTGAACACAGGCTATTTTTCCATTAACTTAATCTTCTTTAATTGATTTTAATAACATTATAGAGTTTTCAAGATATAAGTTTTGCATTTCTTTGGTTAAATTTATGCATAAATATTTTATTCTTTTGATGCTATTGTAAATAGATCCCCCCACACCCCGTACTGGGGATTGAATTCAGGACCTTGCACTTGCCAGGCAGGTGAGGCACCACTGAGCTATATCCCCAGCCCTATAAATAGATTTTTTAAATTCCATTTGCAGATTGTTCATTGCCAGTATATAAATACATGTGGTTTTCATACACTAATCTGTTAATCTTGCTAAATTCATGAGGTCTAAGCAGGTTTTTTTTTCTTAGATGCCTTAGGATTTTTCTACATACAAGAATATTGCATCCATAACTAGAGATAGCTCTACTTCCTACTTTCTAGGATTCTTTTTAAACACCGAATTCACCTTATATAGATAAACCAAGACCCAAAGATTAAGACAGCTTTATAGTAATCTTATGAGACCAAGAAAAAACATAACATGAAACTCAGCCTCTCACTTTGGAATTTCCTCTTTTCTGGAAAATCATGCTTCCTTGGTTTTAACTGTGGAGCCTGAAAGTCATTTGAACAAGAAAAGAACAATTTTAAATCTATTACAAAATAGAGCTCTTTTCGAGGATGTCTGGGGAACCAGTTGCCTTATTGAAGGGAACTTAGATGAGAGTTAAATTCAGTGGTCTTAATTGAAAGTGGTGCTTTAATAGCAGAGGAGAAAAATTATGGTGGTGAATGTGAGCGTGTTTCAGCCACAGGCCATGTGACTGGAGCAACACTGCCCCCTGTTTGCAGCTTCCTCTCGGTCCATGTTCTGACTCTGAAGGTGCCTGCATCTCTTTAGCCTTGTTCTGTTGAGTGATTCATTTCTAAATTTCAAAAATAATTTCAATTAAGATTTTTGACTAGATATACACTCATAGTTCAAAATTCTAAAAGTCCCAAAGAGGGCTGGAGGTATAGCTTGGCACTGGAGTGCTTGCCTAGCATGCATGAAGCCCTGGGTTCAATTCCCAGCACTGCAAAATAAAATAATATAAAATAACCACTACAAGTGCAAAAGAGCATACAATTCCAGCTTTGTATACTTTAGTTTCCCTCCCAGGAACCAACCTATTGAAAACAATGTATTGTGTGTCTTTTTGGAGATAATGTATACATAAACAAACAAATACATATTCAAGGGTGGTAGACAGAATAATAGTTTCCCATAGTGTCCATGCTCAAGTCCCTGGAGCCTGTGACTATGTTACTTTACGTGGAAAAAGAGATTTTGCAGAAGTGACTAAATAATGGGCTTTGAGATGTCCAGATTAGCCTGGGTATCCAGATGGACCAATCTATTCACCTAAGTCCTTAGAAACAGAGAACCCTTCTGAGCTATGGTACAGAGGTTTGATAAAGGGATGAACTGGAGAGATGCAATATGAGGAGAGTTTGAGCAGCTTTTGTTAACTTTACAAAAGAAGGAAAGGGGTCCCCAGCCAAGGAATGCTCTGTATCTTGGAAGAGGCAAGGAAACTGATTCTCCCTGGGGTCTCCAGAAAGGAACAGAGCCAACATCTCAGCCTTAGTCCAGTGAGGCTTGGGCCAGACTTCTGGCTTGCGGAAGTAAAGACAATAAACACGTGCTGTTTTAAGCTTGTGGTGAGTTATTATGTAGCGTTATCATATGATTATTATTTAGCAGCAACCAAAGGCCAATACAATAAGCTCTTTCCCCATTTGTAGACCAAAGGTGGGCTAATAGAGACACCATTCTGTACCTGGCTCTTTTTTTCATTGTATCTTTGAAGTGATTGTTTATCACTCTTTTTAGAAAAGATTGCAAAATTCCATTGAGTGAATGCACCATCCTTTATTTAATGCTCATTTAGACTATTTGCTGTCTTTTACTCTTACAAACAGTATTGAAATGAATGGCCTCACCCATGCATCGCTGTTTCTATTGGGAGATGCATTGTCAGAAGTGAAATTGCTAGGTCCAAAGAGCACGTGTATTTTCAGTGTTGTAGAATTTGCCAAACTGCCAGAGGCTGTAAATTGGTACAGTGTGTGTGAGGTGTGTGTGGCAGTGCAAAGGTGTCTGTCCCCTCCCTTCATGGGCATAGTGGAAGCTTAAAGTCAAAGATAAATGTCCCCTCCAGCCTGAGCACCTGCTGAAGGCTTTTGTGACCAACTCCCTGCTTGGGGTCACATGAGGAAAGTTCAGCCAAGCCAGATCTCCTAGCACTCCCATCTGATTTTGCTCCAAATTCAAGGAGACCTTGTAGGCTCACAAAATGTTTGCAATAAAAAGGTACAGTGGACCCTCAAGTTATGACCAGCCTGACATACAAACAACTTGGGCTTTGACCAGAATTTTAGCTTTAACATACAAACAAAGTCTTGAGTTACAGCACAAATGCCAGCCATCTGTGCTTCCACATGGTCTCAGATATAGATTTAACCCTTAAAGAGTTCTGGAAGGAACATTACAACATCCTTTCCTGTGTGGGGTTAAGTGAGAAATCCTGGGCCGATGTCTCTCTAAGGACACTGAGATCTGCCTGTGTACAGGAGAGAGACTTTGAAGGCTGTGTAGAGGAGCCTGAGCCTTCAATTGACTGACTTGAGTTACAACCAGCTCTTGGGAATGAATTGAGTTTGTAAGTCAAGGGTCCACTGCACATTACACCATCCAGACAAATCTCTTCCTTTTGAAGTCTAGAATTTCACAAGATTTAGGCTGAACAGGACCCTGAGAACATGTCTAAATAAAGCACCCTTTCGGAATAGAATGCAGCATTCAGCCAGTGCCCACACATCCCATTCGCTAATACTCACTGGAATCAACGTGGTGCTGGGTTGCCGCTGGGAACAATGTGGCCCATTCTACCTGGTTTCCCCAGGAAAGGGCTCTGCTTCTGAAAGACACAATGGGGAAGAGTTTGCAGGTCCCCAGAGAGCCACAGGGTTTTGATCTTTTATTGTTGCCTCTGCAGTATCTTGGAAGATGGTACGAAATTGAGAAGATCCCTGTGAGCTTTGAGAAAGGAAACTGTATCCAGGCCAACTACTCAGTAAAAGAAAATGGAAACATCAAAGTGCTAAACCAGGAGTTGAGGTGAGTAATTGTGCCATCCAGAGCCCGGCTGCAGTGCTGTCCTGGTGTGACTGGGTGCCCATGAGGTCGGAGTTGGGGAGGACGTGGCTGTCACCAGGGCCAGGCAGGGACAGTCAGGACTAAAAGACACTCATTTATTTAGGACTAGAAAGCATTCATTCATTCATTTCTTTACCACTTCCTGGGCATCTCCTGCCTGCCAGACCCTAGGAGAGACACCAGGGACCCACAGAGCTCCCCCCTCACTGCAAATCAGAGTCTCTGTTAGCAAAGGACCTTGGGACCACCTTGTCTGGTCTCCAAACAGAGAGAGAAGCTATTCTGTTCATCGCCTCACAGAGGGCAACAGCTTATCCCATCTCCATGCAGTTTTACCTACTAGGAAACTCTTTCTTCCTAAACAAGAATCAAATGCCTGTAATACATATGCATACCCTAGGCTGTGTAAACAGAATATCCTATAGAAGTGCACATTTCTATCATGGAGGGCTTCTCACACTGATATTTGATGCAAAGATTTACATTTTGGAAAGCAAACAAACTTAAAAAGTGTCCCAGGGAAAAGTTTTTCTACCATCCTCCATCAACAAAGACAACAGCACCACCAAACATATCCAAGCTTTTCCTATGTGCAAGGCATTATTCTTTGTGTGTATATACATGTACCATGTGGCTATATATGTGTCTGTATTAATGTTTATACAGGAATATGTATTCATTTACCCCATAGCAACCCCAAAGTAGGTGCTATTATAAACCTCATTTTTATGAATGAAAATTTTAGGTTCAGAGAAGTAACTTGTCCAAGGGTCACACAGCTGATAAGTGATGTAACTGGGATTCGAACCCAGGAAAAGTGAGATGGGGAAGAGATCAGAACATAGATTAAAAAAAAAAAAAAGGCTGTCCTTGCTGTCCTTCCTGTCCCTATGGGATCTGAGAAGTTCCTGGGCTGATAGAGGTGTCCTGTGGCTGTCCCATCACTCATTGGCTTCTGTGAGCCAGAACCCCCTGGCCCTGAATAAGCCAGAGCACAAAGTAGGGCTCTTAAGGGAGTCAAAGAGAGATCCAGCCATTCCAGAGCCTCATGGAGGGCTACAGGGATTGAGATGACCAGAAGGCCTCACAGGAATTTTATAGACATGGAAATAACCAGCTGTCTGTCCATCACTGTAGTGAAATTCCTGGGCCAAGTAAGAAAAAAGAAAAAAAGGTTATTTTGGCTCATGGTTCTGGAGGCTCCCACTGAAGATCAATGTTCTTTGGGCCTCTGGTGTGGGTAGCCTCATGGTGGGAGTGTGTAGCGGAGAAAACCATCCATTCAGGAACCAGGAAGTAGAAAAGAAACAGGAAGCGGTGAGGGACCCACACTTCCCTTCAAGGGCACACTTGCGGTGACCTAAGGACATCCTGCCAGGCCCCATCTACTAAGGTTCCCCCCATTTCCAACAGCATCACCCTGGAGACCCAGCCTTTAACACACAGACCTTAAGGGGACAACTGTCCAAACCACAGAGGGGCCCAAAGTTGCAATGACCTCATTTCAAATTTTTTGTCCCATTCTAAGACCAGGAGTCAACAATACAGACTTCAAACCTATGAGGATGCCCACTTCTCCTTTGGAGTTGACCTGGAATCCTCTTTAACTCTATGGTGGGTATTGGGTTGCTCTGCCTCCAGGGTTACACTTGTTTGAGACACACAGCTCATGAACAAAAGTTTCTTAATTCCAGAAAACAGTACAGTTCCTCCCTCCCAAGAGGGCTGCAGAATGAGCAGAAGATGAGGCAGGGGGTCAGAGCAACAGAATTCTCAGCCAGTGTTAGAGAACTTGAGTGTCAAGAACCAGGAAGCATGGGAAGACGAAGAAGAGCTCAGGCTCTCGAGTTCAGCTGCCTGGGTTCCAGTCCTGGTTCTGCTATTTAGTGTGCGATTGTAGGTTAGTTAGGATCATTCTCTAGGCAATAATAACGGGCTCTTCCCATGGCGCCAATTAAGCATTAAATGAGGTAATACGCATGAAGCTCTTAGAACACCACTGGGCATGTAGTAACCATTTAGCAAATATGACTTGGGCTGGGAATTTAGCTCAGTGGCACAGCACCTGCCTGGCAAGTGCAAGGTCCTGAGTTCAATCCCCGGTAAACACACACACACACACTCACACACTCACACACATACACACAAAAAGACTTTCCATGGCCACCTGCTGCCACCCTTGAAAATATAAATGCACTTCCCCATGAACAAGTAGTGAGTTTGTGATAAGAGCCTGACATTTCGAAAACTATTCTAGAACAAAACACAAATGATTGGGGGGGGGCATTGAAAGAGCCTGGTTTGATGCTTTGTATGCAGATAGAAACAGACCTTGTCCCCAGCTGTCTGAGTGCCAAGTGAGAGAGCAGGGCACTGTCAGCAGCCCTGCATGGTGACAAAGAGACAATGCATTTGTGAGTATCACAGTACATTTCCCAGCCTCCCTTACCTGTCACTTATCTTGTTTCTAGGACATCCAACACCGCTAACCAGAGCACTAACCTTCGGGCTTTTGTACACATGATTGCTCTAATTTTACTCTGCCTGCCCTCTTGAGGACTGGCTGACCAGGAGCTCCTCTGTAAGCTCTCTTAGAAGGGAACCCTGAAGCCTGAGCATCTTCCCTTCTCTGTTCTCGGCTTCACAGGGTCATTGGGTGTTAGCCAGAAATGAGCTAGATCCATTCAAAAGGATGAAGGCATTTCATTCCACCTAAGATCACCACTTTTGAGATGAGCCACCATTAAGTATACTGCTAAGAAAGAAATGACACTGCCAATTATATGTGTCAGGTGGCATTTCTTCACATTTAATGTCAAAGAGGTCTAGGCTGACCTGGGAATCACTGAGGCAAGGTCAGTGTGTCCTTGCTGCCTGCTTTTAGCTGGCCTATGAATCTCAGATGGCTGCTGACATGGAAAGGGTCTCAGAGCTCAGGCCCCTTGTGGGACAGATGATGTCACATGATGTCCTGAGGCCCAAAGAGGGAAAAGCTATGGCACTCCCGACTCCTGCCCTGTTTTGCGTTATTTTCAGTGATCAAGTTCCTCCTTATTTGTCCCTCTGTCTTCTTTGTATCCTGCTTTGTTCTGTTTAGTTTTTCCTTTGCTTTTACTTCCTCTCTCTTGGAGCCTGGGAGCAGGACGTCTTCTTTCAGGCCACCACAGACAATCCAAAAAACCAGTGTTGAAGTGCAAGAGCCTAACAGGCCTCCAATCCCACAGCACTCTAATGTCACTTCTCATCACTCCATGGCTGTCTTCCTCCCCTTGGTCTCAGTCACAGAGGAAAGGACAGGAAATAAGCACCGGAAATCTCCGTGTTGGCCACCACTATCCTTAATCGCCCAAATATTGCCTTTCATTGAGTTTTGTTTTTCAGTGAGGTATTTGTTTCTTTGTTTTGCTTCTTACTCATTACAGATCTGATGGAACCGTGAATCAAATTGAAGGTGAAGCCACCCAGAGCAACATCACAGACCCCGCCAAACTAGGAGTTAAGTTTTTCCAGCGTAAGTAGCCACTTCTGTCAGGAAGTTTCGGGGATGGAAGGTGAGGGCCCTGGGGTACCCCTGTCACATCTGAGTGCCATCCATAAGGACTCAGTATCCAATTGTTGAGGACCTACTACATGCCGTGCACTGTGCTGGCCACTGAGATGTGTTCCTATGTGTTCCCGTGTGGATATTGGCTGGCAACCAGATTTCCTTTAAACTATCATCAGTGTTCAGTGGGTGATGCCAAAAAGGAAACACTCAGGGCAAGAGCAGTAGGAGGCTCGATCCAGTCTTATTTCTCCCAGGGGAAACTGAGGCCCCCAATGAGTAGCATTATCGAAACAACTAGCATGAGCAGAAGCTTGAGGGCAAGAGATGACAGGAGTGAAGGCCACTTTGAGACCTGCTTTTGCCGTTTTCTAGTCACACTGTTGGGATTTTGAGAAATATTTAATGAGGCATCTGCCCTCTGAGTTCTAAGCTACACGGAGAATGGATGCAGCAGGTGAGGAAAGCATCCAATGTCACTTTTGCAGCTGATGTAGTCACACTGGAGAATTTGGCTCAAGCCTGTGAGGCTGGCTGGCTGGCTGGCTTGCTTGCTTGCTTGCTTGCTTTCTCTTTTTTGTACCAGGGATTGAACTCGGGACCTTACGCTTTCGAGGCAGGCAGCAGAACCACTGAGCTAAATCCTCAGCCCCCTGTGAGGCTTTCTAATGTTGAAAGCACCATCGGAACCTCTCTCTCCACTGCAGGGGAGACACTGAAGTCACCCGTTGCAAGAGAAATCACTCCCAGTGTCCTCATCTTTACTATCTTCCTTCCCCTTGGAATCCCTAGTGCGGGGCAGGGAGGAAGTTCTTGTTTATAAATGAAAAAAGGAATGTGGGAGGAGAAAACAGCTTCCCACACACGCAACTATGAGCAAATACGTCCCATGCACAAACCGGGGGTGACCACCCAGTGTGGTGAAGATAAACCTAGTAGGGCATGTCCAAGAACTGTTAAGGGCTTTTGTCACAGTAGTGATTCTTGTCACTCTTACTGAAGGAAGTTGACACACAGAAGGGCTGAGTGGGCGGGCACTGATCTAATTAGGGGCAGAGTCTCCAAATTCTCAACTGAGATTTTCCCATGACACGGATGCAAAAGGCATGGAGGATGCGAGTGAAGGTTAAATACCTTCTGCTCAGTCCTCAGAAGGCAGCCTTGGGCAGGAGCTAAAAAAAAAAAGGCAGGAGCTGCTTGCTGGGGAAGCTGAGCAGGGAGAGGTTTCTGAGGGCTCAGATGTTGGCACTGGGCCTTATAAGCTGTATAGGAGATGGTGGGAAAGCATGGCTGTTCCAAGTGGAGAGGAGGGCTTGGGAGATGGCTGGATAAACAGCCTAGAGCAGGGGTTTGGGGGCTTACGTGGGATGAGCAGCAGGGCTGAAGAGGCCTTTGAATGCCATGTTAGAGAGTTTGCATTGCAGCGTCTGGACACAGCAGGAGACTCAAACAAAGTTTTTTGATAAAGAGAGAGATGGGAGTTTTCTGTACCAAGAGAAAATATCTGGGTAAATTTATTCTTGAGAACTAGGCCCTGGGAGAGGAAGATGGAATGCTCCTGCTGGGACGTGTGCAGGTGGGGTGCAGCAGCAGCAAGAAGTGGGAGATGTGGTTTTCCCAAATCACTCGGCGCAGAGCACTTGGTCCAGCAGGGAGCTCACAGAGCAGTTGAACCTCACAGACAACAGGGGTCCGATGAAGAGACTCTCCGGGCAAGGTGGCCAGGGCACCAGCAGTGCCGGGACATCAGGAATAACTCTTGCTCCAGGTTCCCACCAGGCTTCTTCCAAGCCTCCTCCTGGTTCATAAACAGAAAGTCAGAGGTAGGAGGGAGCTCGGTGGCTGGTCCTCTTGCCGCATTTCTTGTGCTGGGCCAAGGACACCCAGCCAAACCCTGACCAGCCACACTCCACCTTCTCTACCCGAAGCTCCTTGGATCTTTCACAAGTGCTCAGCAAACAGGAATTATTTTTGAGTGGGGCAAGCGGGGTATGATGCTTAGAACCTGGGAAAGCAAATGACCTATGACCTCATCTGTGTCCAAGCTCTCGTGCTTATGGGGCACCATTTGGGTATCTTCCACAGCTGGGCTGAGTTTTCCTTAGCTTGGACCTTGTCTGGGGAGGAAGCTTCTAGATCCAGGTGGAGAGGCTAAATCCTCCATCTCTCCTCTTACAGACCTCTTTAATCTTGGGCTTCCAATACTTTCAGATGTCAATCAGTGAATCCTTAAAGGCACTTTGGGAGGAAAAGCCTAAAACCTCTAACCAAATGGCTAACCACATTCTTAAGAGTGGAAGGGTTTGTACCAAGCATGAAGAAAGGAAAAACAAAACATCAAAGCCTTTGCCTTCTCCTTAGGCAGGTTCTAGACAAACTTGGGTGTTATGGGCTCAGAAAGCCTGGGGTCCCCGCTTTGCAGTCTCCACTTAGCTAAGTGCTCTCCACACACCATGTGGATTTGTGGGAGCCTGTAAGTCCTTGGGTCCCACTGGAACACCCTGTTTCCCCCCAAACCACCTGCTACCAAAGAGGAGAGCATTAACAATGGTCCTAACTCTGACCGTACCCTAGACTCACTGTGGAGCTTTTAAAAGTACTGTCCCATGCAAGTCTGAATGCAGGGAAGGGTGGAAAGGGTGGGCTTTTCGTCTTTCAAAGCCCCCATGTGATTCCCATAGAAACCAGTTAAGAACAACCAGCCTCCTGTAATCCCAGCATTCTCAGCGGCCGAGGCAGGAGAATCATGAATTCAAAGCCAGACTGAGTAACTTAGCAAGACTTTGTCTCAGAAAACTTTTTACGTACAAAAAAGGGTTTGGGGTATAGCTCAGTGTGAGGCCCTGCGTTCAGTCCCACTTCTGCAAAAAAGAATTACAACCCCAGAGTCCTGGAGACTCATGTCTCCTGCTCTGGTTCCCCCTCATGCTGCCTTCCTTTGGTTCTCAGTGATGCCATCAGCACCATACTGGGTCCTTGCCACCGACTATGACAACTATGCCCTCGTCTACTCCTGTACCAACATCATCTGGCTTTTTCACATCGACCATGTCTGGATCTTGGGAAGAAACCGTTATCTCCCTCCAGAAACAGTGACCTACCTAAAAGATATCCTGACTTCTAACAGCATTGACATCGAGAAAATGACCATCACAGATCAGGTGAATTGCCCCGACTTCCTGTAGGAGGCTCTGGAGGGTGGCAGCAGCCACCCTCTGTCACTTCTTCCGCTTTGCTTTCCCCACCCTGCCTGCACCTCATAAAGACACAGCACCACTCATGACAACAGCTGCACACACCGGCAGAGAAGTTTGCAGAAGCCAGTGGAGGGGAACTCGGGGAAGTTGCCTGAACACTTATCCTCTGCCCACCCTTCTGCCTTGCCACCAATAATAAACATGTTGCTGATCCTCTGTGGCTCAGCGGATTCTGAATCAAGGTGTTGATTATGTTAGCTTTCTGTCAGTCTGACAAAATACCTGGAGTAAACAACTTGAAAGGAGGAAAGGTTCAAACTAGGCCCCCACTCCTAAAGTTCCCATGGCCTCCCAACAGCCCATTAAGCTATGAAAGCATCAATTGATTAGTTTATTGATGAGGTCAGTCCCTTCATGGCCCAAACACCCCCAAATGCCTCACTTCTAGACACTTCTGTACTGGGGACCAAACCTTCAACACAAGGGTTTTGGGGGGATGTTTCAGATCCAAACCATAGCAATTACAAGTTGTTGTTTTTTTTATTAGCAGTGTGTGCATAGACATCCTTAAACAGTTACATAGAGGAAAAATTAAGCTCAGAACTGTCCAGGTTTAAAAAAACACAATACTGTTCTGGAAGGGTAAGCTGAGGGCAAAGGCACACTCTGGTCCCCATTCTGCAGTAAGCGCTCCTCCAAGGATGGGAGCTGGGGTGCCAAGTTTACCATGCAGTTTCCTGGGAGCTTTTACTCCCATCAGGAAATCCTCAAAGTGGCTGAAGAGAAACCATCCTGGGGTCTGTGCAAAGAGGAGGAAAATCTATGTGGGGAAAATACTAGGAACTGTTTGTATTTATTTATTTACTTACTTATTTATTTTTCTTTCTTTTTTTTTTTTGGTCCTGGGGATCAAACTCAAGTCCTTGCGCTTGCAAGACAGGTGGCAGAACCACTGAGCTAAATCCTCGGCCCTAGGGACTGCTTTTAAAGATTGTTTCTGTGTGTCTTTCATTGAATTGCTATTTACTGAGGCCCAGGTCATTCCAGGTATTGAAAAATACAGGCTCTTGGTCCTCCCACAGGAGCTTACAGTCTAGCAAGGGAGACAAGCAAGTAGAGAAGTCCTTAGAGCACAAGGTGAGGACAGCAAAGGCAGAGGCCTATGGGGGGTGCTGCCCCCAGACACAGGCAGCCAAGGCTGCACAATCAGTCCTGGGGTGCAGTTACTCCTGGGGTGTCCCACTTCCCGGCTCTGTACCACCTTCAGCTGAAAAACCCCAGGTTTTTGGTTTTGTTTTTTTTTCGGTACCAGGGATCGAACTCGGGACCTTGCGCTTGCGAGGCAGGCGCCTGACCCACTGAGCTAAATCCCCGGCCCTAGCTGAGGTTTTATACCTTGTGAATTTTCAAATCAGAAAGACCTCAGAATTATCACCCTGCAATTTCATGTAGCTCACATAAATTTTATAATCCACTAATGTTTGGGGAAATGAATAGGAAATTAAGCCCTTTGATTAAATTTTTTGCTTTTTTAAAAACATGAATATGAAATATTTTCCTTGAATATTTGAGACTTTTTGAGGCTTTATGTTAAAGGTCACAAAAAAATCTTAATACATATAATTTTTGTTTAAACAAATATGAACTCAAAACATAACTTCCAATGTGAAGCCCCAAAAGGCTGAAATCCCTGGGGCAAAAAGGTGAGGAGCGGGCTGGGGATTTAGCTCAGTGGCACCTCGCCTGCCTTACAAGTGCAAGGTCCTGAGTTCAATCCCTGGTACCAAAAAAACGATGAGGAGGAAGAAAAAGAGCAGGAGGAGGAGGAAGGTGGCTAAGAGCCTTTCACAGGTTTGCTCTCTGCTTTACCCCACTGCCACTCACGGCGGGGCACTTGGCTTCTCTTATAAAGCAGTTCTCTTGATGTTAAGCTGTCATCTGTCTTTTATCTCATTGCACAACATAAGTTGGGATTTCATTCCTCTTAACAGCTGCCTAAGAACATCTAAGACAAGGTGAATGTGCTTTGCACTTTAGTGTCTCGCCCAATACACAGACTTGATTATTTCATGTGAATGAATTACTGAATGGGTGGGCAGATGGGTGGACTTGAGCTTTTCAGTGAAGAAGTGAAAGGAAACTCTGAAGCAGATATCAGGGATAACTAAGACTGAGAAAAATGTTGGAGAGGCCAGGGATTTAGCTCAGTGGCACTGCATCTGCCTGGCAAGTGCAAGGTCCTGAGTTCAATCCCTGGTACAAAAAAAGAAAAAAGAAAAATGTTGGAGACTCACCTGCCTCGTAAGCACAAAGTCCTGAGTTCGATCCCCGGTACCAAAAAAACAAAACAAACAAATCCTGGATGTCACATCCTATTACTTAGCCCGGAGCCACCTAAGTATATATCTCTAGCAAATATAGACATTTTAAAAAATGCATGTCTTACATCCTTAAAGTGCTCAGAGGATGTAATCTCTATGTAAATTTTAAAATATCTTACACAATCTAGGTAAAAGGGAATATGTGCAAAAACATTCATCATAGTTTTATAGGTAGTAACCCCAACAGAAAGAAGCTAAACTAAAACTAGCAGCAGAGGAATTGGAGAAATGGGATCATTAATCACGGAACAGCCACTTGATGTCATGTCATATAGTCATTAAAATGTGAGGAGTGAAGTCGGGCATGGTGGTGCACATCTGTAATTCCAGCACTCGGGAGGCTGAGGTAGGAAGATTGCTACAAGTTTGAAGCTAGCTGGGCTACACAGTAAGTTCAAGGCCAGCCTAAAGTATATAGCAAGACCCTGTGTCTCAAAAAAAAGGGAGGATGAGAAGCCACACAAGAGCTGGTGCCTGCTCACCCACGCTCACTGCTGAGGAAGCCCTTGCTGGGGGACTTTCCTGTCCTGCAGAGCTCAAATCAGGACCCTGTGTTTCTGAAGGAATCTGCCACCCTAGGCTGACCAGAGACCAATAAGTGTCTTCTAGTCCACCATGATTTTACATCTGCTAGATGAGTAAGCATGGGCTAATGAGGCCTAGTAACCATGGCTACACCCCCTAACCCCCATCATTCCTCAGCCCTGCTCCTGACGGGCAGCCACCAGTCCCTGCACTTTCCCAGGCCTTGTCCTTGGCGGGCAGCCACAACTCCTTTTCACTGAACTGCCCCCCTTCAAAGTCCCTTTTTGCTTTTTTCCTTTCACATCCCTGCTTTATGTTCATGACCCTAGAAAAGACCTTATAGCTTGTACAAGGATGACTGGTCTGGTCTAAGTGCCAGGGCAGTCCCGCTCAAGTTTGTTCTGAAATGAACCTGTCCTGTTGAGCTCGTGCCGCTGTTTTTTCCACTTTTCCTAACGGTTTCTGCTTCCCCACCCACTGGACCAGGACAAGTCCACCTGAGCACTAGCAACACTAGTGACAGCCAGTCCAGAAGCTAAACAAAAACTTTTGACTTTTGTGCACTAACTAGGTAGAAAAAATAAATTGGAACCATCAGATCAGGGTGCAACTTTAAGAGAGCTGGGGAAAAAATAATTGAAAGCTCCTTTATTGGTCAACCTTTTGTTGCTGTGGCCAAATATCTGACATTCACAACTTAAAGGAACTCATGGTTTCAAAGGTTTCAGTCCATGGTGGGCTGGCTCCAAGGCAGAAACATCCTTGCGGAAGGGCGTGGCTACCCTGCTCACTTCATGGTAGCCAAAAAAGAGACTGAAGCATTTTTTTTTTTTTTGATACCAGGGATCGAACTCTGGTCCTTGAGCTTGCAAGGCACTTGGCGGAACCACTGAGCTAAATTCCCGGCCCCCAAAAAAGAAAGAGAGTAAGGGAGCCACAGAGACAGGAAGGGGCTGAGGACAAGAATATACTCTTCCAGGTTATATCTACAGTGACCCACTTCCTCCACCCAGGCCCTGCCTCCTAACAGCACATGCAGCTAAGGACTCCTCACTGGATTAATCCGTTAATGAGGGCTGTGTCCCACAGTCTATTCACCTTTCCGAAGCCCCACCTCTGAACGCATGAGCCTGTTGAGGAACATTTCTCATCCAAACCATAACAGCCCTGAAACTGTAAGGTCACACAGTCTGCAGTAGCTGTTGTTGGTTATGTGCAACTCGTGAGAGAGCAGAGTTAGGCAGAGACCCTGCATACACAGCAGCTTCAGTAGCTGGTGGCCTTTCATGCTCTAGCTCCATTCCTGGGTAGCTTAATTCTCTTAGGTTCCTGTCCTTGGATTTCTACAATATTAGACACACACACACACACACACACAATTTTTTCTCAGATAATTTAACTTAACTCAGTAGATGTTCCTTTGGAACCAAAATAGCTCTAAGACAAAAGCGTTCACAAAATAATATTGAGTGGAGGGAAAAAAAATGCAGCAGTTTAACTATGCTGTATTTATAGCTACATGAAGAGATGGCATAAAATCAAGAGCTAAAAGTGAAGAAAGAAAATGAAAGCAATTAAAGTGTTACGTGGCATTATGGGAAAAATTTTTTTTCTTTTTTAGTTTTGCTACAGCTGTTTGTATTGTAGGCCATAAAATATTTATAGACCCTAAAATGTCCTTTTAGTTTAATTTGGCCCTCTGGGAAGTTTGGTGCCAAGACCCCTCACCCAAATAGGCCTCTTCTTTCAACAACTACTTCAGACATTGAGGCCTTTCTGGAGTAGTCTCCCATCCCATCATATCCATAATATACCTGAGACAAGGGCATACTTTGTGAAGTGCAGGATGTGTTGTAGTTTAAAATTTCTCTATTAAAGCAATCTTTGTTTACTACCAACAACTTCCTCTATAAACCTCTAGAGACATAAAGGGATATATCACATAATATTATTTTCATGATTATCTAAATAGTTTTATTTTATAATTGACTTCCCCCAAAAGGAATCATTTTCACCTTGATAAGTTTTGTAACTATGAAAAAATATAATATGTGTTAAATATGGTCAACTTCCACACTAAAATCCCTTATTTTAGCCAGTTATGACATTAAAATAGACTTAAGCATTTTCTAATATTCCCAATAGACAAAGTGATCTGAACAAATTAGAAACACTGAGGAAACTGAGTGTTGTGGCTCATGACTGTAATCTCAGCACTCGGGCAGCTGAGGCAGGAGGATCACCATGAGTTCAAAGCCAGCCTGAGCTACATAATGATACCCTATCTCAAAACAAACAAACAAAAAGAAATGCCAAGCAATAGTTCGGTGA